GTGTGTTAGGGGTAAATGTGTATGTTGCATGTCACATATATGCAAAAATCAGAGTTTGAGAATAAAACTCTGGAATGAAATCAGGTTTGTCTGAAAAATTGTATTTTCTGTAAAATTCCTGAGTGATATTTTTTGTATTGCTATATGCTAATTGTTTTATTAACTTAATCCCCCTTCATTAGTTTGTTTTTCGTAGAATCAAGTTTGTCACTTTTCATCCTTTTAAAATATTGGTAGAACAGCTAACTCTAGCTTGGTGGAATTTCTTTGATACTCTTAAATATAAGATAAATGCCTGTGCTTAGGCCAGTCAAGTCTTCACCATCTTTTGTTACATGGCTTTGCTGATTTTAGTGCTTACCATAGTATGTGTTGCTTAACAGCTTTCTGGGTTACTGAGGGATTGGAAAGTATTTCATCACATCTCAGTGATAAGAACACATAAATACAGTGCAGAACCACTTGTTGAATACTACTTCTGCCTCTTTATAAACCATTTTGTTGCTGAAGCTTATATTTTTGCCACAGGAAATTATCACTGTCTATAAATTTTTGTTTTGATCCTTACAGTTTACAAAAAAACCCCAAAACACTGTTAAAAGAGGTTTCATTCTCAGGCAGTGGTTGCCCATTGCTTGTGGACAGGCTGCCCCAAAAGTCCTGTGGAGTGGGAAGGAGGTGGTAAGTGCAGTACATGCTCTACAACACAGTGGCAGTATGGTGGCTTTCTTCTGGATGCTCTGGAAGCTGTCCTGGCCCATGGATCATGTGGAAAGCATGAGTGACGTTCCAGTCACAGCCACAGGACAAACTCCAGATCCATGCTGGTCCTTCCACAGGTTGTTTTCTAACTCCTGGCTATCATTCCATGGCAAATGTGCTGCCCTTCTAAAAAAACCTGACGTTATGAATTGAGGCATTTTTTTCTATCCAAGAACATGTAGTTTAAAAATATCCTTTGCTTAAAATGAAGAATAACAATGAATATTTTAAAAGTTTACAAAAATAAGTATTTAGCATAGGTCTGAGTAGAGAGAAGATGACAAGTGAAATGAGTTGGGAAGGGCAGGAGTATGGAAGAACATAGGCAGGTGATGCTAATGCCCAGTGATGCTGGGTCTTTGGAGACTGATGCAAATCTCAGAAGATTCTCTACACTAAGGCTGACCAAACAAAAAAAGTAAAAATGTGGAAATTGCCTTCAGGAAATACACTGGGAATTCTTCTAGCTATGCACTAACTAGTCTATTATTTGACCAAAACACTGAAGAAACTCCTGATGGAACTTGAATTTATTCAAGAGGGATTCATGCTGAGGCAGTGCTGAACAATCACAACCAGGCAGCAAACATTTGAGAAAAAAACAAGGTAAGGTTGTCAGCAGAATTGCTGTTCTCAGCATTTACCTCTCTCTTTGCCTTAAAAGAAAGTGATGTGAAATGCTCTGCTTGTATCTCATAAACCTGTGACTTGACTTGCTTGGAGAAGAAGGAAGCTTTGTGCTCCTGTTGCCAGTGCCAGTGCTGTGTGCAGCCCGCTGTGATCCAGCTGACCCCACCTGGCTCAGATTAGACCATCACATGGATGTCTCACGCAGCCAGCTCCCCTCGGCCTGCAGTGCTCCTCAGGCCATTGAACCGAGCTAAAATGATCTCACTGTGATCTCAGGCTAATGAGAAGTAGGAATAACAAAACCCTTGAGGCCTGTGAAGGTGTGGTACTAGCAGAGGACATCCTGTGATGTCCATATGGCTGGAACAGAGAGACAGAGTGGTCACAGGGTAGCAGGGGCTGGTGTGAAATCACCACTCGCGTTTGAAAACACATTAAGTCAGTAAAGAAAATATAAGAACAAAGGCAAACAGAAGAGGAAGTTGCATCCCTGCAGATTGTGTGATAAATCATTAACTACAGTGGCAAGGAGGCTTTCAGACAGAAATAGCAGCATGTCAGTCTACTTATTCCTGCAGAAAACAAGCACCTCTGAATCCACATCCACAGAAATGAAGATGTAAAGCATGGCAGGGCTTCCACCTGACCCACAAAGCATTTCTCCCAAAACTACCACTCCTAAAAAGGTGATGTGAAATATTCATGTACTTCTCTTGCCACATCAGCAAAGGAGGCCTGTCCATTCAGTGTTCTAGCACACATAAACAATTTCAGTCTTTCTGTTAAAACCTTTCTGCTTTGAGTCACGTCAACAGAAGTATTTTACCACAGAAGACACACCTGGTTTGAACTACCCTGGGCAGGGAGGTGGTTTGACAGTCACAAAGCAGAAAAGTGCCACTCTCCAGGAGAACAGCAGGGCACAGGGCCCTGGCGAAGCAGTCTTAAGGCTCTTTCAGGCCTACTTGGATTCAGCTTTCTGATGCCTTCCTGTGGCAGCTTAAAAGGATGGATCCCTGAGGCCAAATTATTTTGGACTGAAGCTATTTGACTGACTTTGACCCAGCTCCCCAACCAAGATAAAATGACACATCCAAATTTATTTGGCATTTGAAGCAGGAGGGAAATGACTTCTCTGTTCTGCCAGAGGCCTCTTTTATTTAATGTTCCACAAAGAGGAAGAAACAGCATATAATAATGACATCTTGTGGTAGTTGTTGAATTATTGCCCTATGATTTAGTAGATAATTGGATGCCAAATTTCATGACATCTCTCTCTTTCCATGCTGCAGCTCTGCAAGTTCAAAGTAACAAATTCTCCTGCTCTGAGAAGCTGGATGTAGAAGACCTCTGGAACCTTTGGCTGTTGACTTCAGAGGAATTTTTTCTCATGTGATTACACAGATGTGGCTAAAAATACAGGTCAGAAATTCATAATCATATCTGATTAAAGAATCTGATCACAGTTACCCAGGTATTCATACAGAGAACACTACCTTTGATAATATTGAGTGCAGAGTGGGTCTGGCTCATAGAATGAGCCTGCCTTTGCTGCACCACGGCTTTGTGCTGGGTGTCAGAGTAAAGAGTGACAGCCTTTGCTGCAGCATGCAAAGCCTGACAGCTGCTGAACACCAGCACTGAGCTTGCAAACAGCCCTGGTGAGCAGCCACCAGCACCCAGTGGCTGGGGATGCAGGAGTTTTTAAAGAGTAAATGCCCAAGGCCCCACAGTGCTTCTACTCATTTCAGCTTTGGTGCTCAGGTCTGTAACTCCTGCCATCAACCAGGTGTCCAAGGGTCGCATGAAGCTCTAAGCTTACTGCAGGCTGTATGACATTTCATATTTAGGGTCCATAACCATGCTATTTAACTGAGTATCCCACTTTGCCTGATCATAATCATGTCCTTGCTGGTGCAGCCTCTGCTGTGCTTGCTCTAGTTGAAGTTAGTAGCTTTTCAGAACAAACAGCACTTTTTCCTGCCAGTTTGTACAGTCCTTATCATCAGAGAGAGGCACAGCTTGTATCAGGGAGTTTGGCTGTTGCCAGAATAGTCATAATAAATAAGACTAGCAGGAAGGGCTAGGGATGTATTTTTACAGGGCATCTGTTTATCTTGTCACGTGCTTGGTGAGTATCCTTGTGGTTCACCAGGTCTCCAGGCCTCTGCTACTGTGACACAGTTTTGCTATCATTTTTTTAATTGAGATGAAGCTGGCTTAAGTTATACGCCAAACACCTTTGTGTTTTCTTCTGGGCTACCAAGGCCTCATAAACAGACTTACAGTTTATACACAAGATTTACACACAGCTGTTTCCCAGCTGTGGGGAAGGAGGCAAGAAAAGACTGAGTCACTAAGGAAGAGCTCAGAGGTGATAGCGAAATCACACATATGGATGACAGCAGAATAATGCTGTTGATCAGCATTGATAATGCAGAATGGGGACTGACAGATCAATGCTACTACAATTAATGAAGCATGGCATCTCTTGCCCACATGCCTTTTTCACTGCCAGAGTTCCTGGTGTTTACATTGGATACTGGGCATTACAAGCTCTGCCTCTTTCCTTCAGAGACACTCGTTGGATTCCCCATTGATATGGAAAATTCCTAAAGAAAATCATGAGACACCATGACTCCATAACATCTAATGATAGGTGTTTAGCTGTAATGATCTATTTTTTTCTTCCACAGGATGATGCCACCTATTGGACTTTATTAAAAGAGGCAAAACAGTTGAAAGAAAATAAATACTTTATACTGGGTTGTTTTTTTAGCAAAGAAGGTTAAACTTTCCTACAGTTCAACTGCAAGAAAAAGAGCTTCTATTAGGACATCTTGAATTAAGGTATGTCATAAGAAAAGAAGAAAGAATAGAATAGAGGCAGAAAAACCACAGGCAACACTGACTATCTCTGGTGAAGAAAAAGAAATTAAGGAAAAAATATACAGTTTAACAGGATAGCTTTTATCCATTTTTCCAATGGGACTATAAACAACAGCCATAGAATTTCAGCCTTTTTGTTTGACTTTTTTTTTTTTATTGAAGTGTGTTGAGGGTGATCATTTTTAATTGACCTTGAACTCGTGATGGTAAAACTATTAACAGTTAAAACTGCTCTCAGTCTGGCTAAGAAGTTATCTTTACTAAAAGAACATCCCTTTCAGCTAAAAGTTTGATTGTTTCCAATTTCCCACTTCTGAGCTAAGACAACACAGGGTGTGCCACTAATCAGAGCCATCTTTCGACACTGCCACGTTACTGTTTGGTTCCTCAGAACTGGGGCCGCCAGCAAACTCCCGAAGGCATCCTGTGCCTTCCAGGACAGACACTGCCTTTGCTAACACTGGAACCATTGCCTGTCCTTACCTCTTCCTTCCTTGTCTTCTGAAAGGCAATACAGGTTGGTTCTCTGCAATGAGAGGACAGGGGAGCAGAGGGAAAGATGCTCCCTCAATGTTCTCTCACTATAATCATAGTTAATACAGGTTTTGACCAGCCTGTCCCAATTTCTTTTTGCCTTTATTAGCTTATTCATAATCCCTGGTAGCAAATGTATTTTTAATTATTTACCTTCTGTAATATGAAAGCAAAAACAAGAGAGTGATTGGAAATTTTTTTTTAATATAAACTTTGCAAAGCAGTGATTAAAATAAATCTTCATTTTTTAAAATTTAATTGAGTAAATATATATTGTGTGCAGATGTGTTGCTCTTGATCTTGTCATTATGTTAACAGTCCCTCAGATCAAGTTGGACTTGATTTCAAAGTTATTTTAAAACTTGGCACCTCTCAATGAAAATCCCTTCCATTTTCAGCCTTCATATGGTCTCATTTCCTCCTGATGTTTGGAACAAGGTATCCATCTCAGGCCCATCCAGACACTTAAAAGCTGTTTGGTTTACAATCTTGACCTCAGCCTGCCTATAACAGGTTTATTCATGCAAAATTCTGCCCACCATGAAGGTCTGTTCAGAGCTTTGTTGCCTTGAAGGATTTCTCCCCACATATTTTTGTATAACTGCAAAATAATAATAAAAAAGGATTAATGCACAGAGAAGAAACAAAACTTCTGCGAGATAAATTGTTAAGTTAGCTTATTGGCTGAAATGAGATTTTGATTGAATTTCTAGATAACAAATGTGAATAATTATGTACAGGCAAGAACAAACAGAACAATAAGCACAAAATTTCAAAGCACTGTAAACATCAGATTTCTGTGTAAATCATTCAGACCAACCTTGGCATAGGAGCAGGAAACCAGAAACCTTTATTATCTCTGGTTTTCAACTTGACAGGAGTTCTACTATCAAAGGTAGAAATTTGGAAACAAGATTATATTAAGCCAATCTTTGTTCTGTCCAAACCTGAGGACTGTGTCTGAAAGCACTCTTGGACAGCTGCTGTTATCTTTGTTTGAACACACTTCTGAAAAGTAACAGAACTTCTTTCCCAGTGTGAACTGTTTGATTTGAGCATAAGAAATTCTTCTCTCAAGAGCAGATTGCTTATTTGTCATTTTACCAATTTGCAATTTTTTTGTGGAAGAGTTAAAAAGAAGCAAATTTTGCAAAAGTAGAATTTTAACAACACTTGTTAATTCATAATTAACAAAAGCTTAAAACTTTAAATAACTTTATAGAAAAAACAGGAAAGAAAGAACATATTTTCAGCAGTAAGAGAGCACAGAGTTAACAAAATAATAATGTAGTATAAAAGCAGCCAGTGAGGTAAAATGAAATGCCATTTTTCTTCATCAGAAGATGCTGTGGTCCTAAATATCTAGGATGACTTAAATAAATATTAAAATATAATATTTTTTATATTAAATATATTTTACCTTGATTACATGGGCTAATGTTAACTACTTATTCCATTCTAATTTTGATTAAATATTGTCTAACAAGTTTTAATTAATCCTGAAATAAATGTGGCAATGCCTTCACAGACTTAGGCTGAGATTGTAAAAACTTTTATGGAGAAATTATCCACACCATCAAAGTTCCTTTTACAGAGAATCTGAATTCTTCTTTAGGGCTTAAATCTGCCAATAAAAATAATTTGAAACCTTTCCTCAGCTCCAATTATGATCTGTGGCTTACGGTGCAAGGCACTCCACTGCAGCACAACCCAACTTATCCTGAATTAAATTCACCTTTTTGTTATACATGGATAATCTAATCTTTATAATACCATAATTTTTACTGAAATGTTTGCCTTGGTTCTTAGAAGGTGCAAAGTAGCAATGAATAGAGGATTGAACACAGACAGTCAGGAGACAATGATCTTTAATAAGTATTTTGAGTGAGGGATTGGCAGCCTTTTTTGAATTTCAGTTGAAAATATTTACACAAGTTGAAAATCCCAGACTTACAGGCAGTTCAGGAAACCTTCCTGAATTCTACAGAACATGGGTTGAATAGCACTGATTAAAATTATTTTCTCAATGATTAAATGAATTTATAAAAAAATTAAGTATATGAGGCAATGTTTAGATTCCTACATGCATTTCTCACATATTATACTCCTAATATTAGTATCTAATATTAACAAGTCTCTATGGCTTTTGCATTTGCAAGAGCTAAGAGGTACCCAATGGGGAGCCAGCCAAATCCATCATGACAGATTTATCAGCTACTGCTAAGAAATCTCCAGGTGACTGCTAGAGAGGGGATACTATTCTAGGAATGGATCACTGAGTAATTGTACCATATTTTATATTTCTGCCTCTAGCATCTGCTTACAGCTTCTTTTAGGGACAGAAAAATGTGTTAAAATGGGCTTTTGGCCAATACAGATACTCTTAACATTCTAACAAACTATGCCCTTTCTGAAGAGTTACCTTTGGAGCTTCCCTCCCATGACCTCTTGCATTAATTTAATCCTCAAAAACCCTATAGGAATGGAAACAAAGTTTCCAGTGATGATTACAGCCCCCTACAAGATGGCTGGATAGGTAGAGGCAGCCTTTCCTGCCTCATTTGTAAAGGCTGTGCCAACAAAGTAATCATTGTGTTAGGTCAGCTTAGAAACATCTGCTCTGCCCTCTGTATTGCCAGATCACCATGGGAACAAGGGGCAACTTCAGACAAGAATTCACATGAAACACCGAAAACCACCGAGTCTGATGCAGCATTCCTGTCAAACATCCTGGCAGGCTCCCCAGGCTCCAGGGATTGTCTGCAGCATGCATCCACAGCAACCCAAAGTACTGTACTGTGACACTGGTCTCCACAGAACAGTTATCCCACAGCTCAGCCCTGACGAATAGGTTTGGCTCAGTAAGCAAGAATTTTGGTTTGCTGAGATTTTGGAAAAAAGACAGATCTTGAAATATGTTAAAAAAAAAGGAGGGACCAGGAGCTGTTGTAGCCAACTCCATGGTGCACCTACATCCTGAGTCCTGCTTGTAGGCCTGGTTATGCCACTTCAGAGAGGATACAGCAGAAGCAGAAAATACACAGAGAAGGAAAGCAAGGTCTGTCAGAAGAATGAAAAGGCTCCCATAGATGGTAAATAGATATGAACTGGGACTAGGAAGTATTTTCTAACAGTACTCATAATTAAATAGTAGACATGACAGTGTGATATAAGCCAAATAGCTGAATTTGAAAATGGATGGGAAAAAATGGAGAATAGACACATCTGTGGCTACTAAACAGAATGATACAAACAGAACCTATGGCATGAGACATCTCTTAAATTGCCAATAGCTGAGATATCAGGAAAAGAAAACCTCACTATTTCATTTGTTTCCCAGTGTTCTCTTTGGCCATCCATCCCTGTCAGCCACAGAGAATTATGTGAACTGAATCCACTATGGCCCTTCCTAAGCTCTTAGCTCTAGCTTTGTGTAAGTACACCAAAAAATTTCTCTCAGCCCTTTCCCAGTTCAGTGCACAGATGCCCACAACAGCAAACTAGAGCAATACTATACAAGTTTCCCATTGAAGCTTATCTTCAGAAAAAGTTCATTTTCTGCTGACATCAATTTAACTCTGGTAGTATTTTCCACTGAAAAATTGTCTTTCTTCTCCTTCTGTACTTGTGAAATGTCTTGACTATGTTAAGGCTAATTACAGGCAATAATCTTCTTCATTATTAAAGTTACAAAATTTACAATGGGTTTTCTTACCTCTCCACTTGCTTTACCAATGGTAGAGTTGAGAATGAAGTCAGAAGGAGCAAAGACATCAACCAAGGCAACTGCATCATCTTTCAACTGTTTAAAACCAAAAGACATACATTTGACAACATCTGTAATTGTCTAAGGCTGAACTACAGAGCAGCATAAAATTATTTTCATAAAGTAGCAGCTTTGATAATTTAAGAGAAATCCACAATAAGTAGCCTAGTTTTGATTTTTTTCCACTCCCAGGGTAACTGCCAAAAGAGACTGCATTTCAGATGTCTTCCTCCTTTACCTAGGGGGTTTTAAACACATTTAAACAATATGGTGCAACGCATATATTTTTGGACATTAAAAACATAATGACCAGATTCTTCTTTGAAATTTTGCTGACCTACAAAGAATATGTTGCAGATTGGAAAGCTTTTGTGCTAAGAAAAAAGAAAAAAAATCACACACTAACTCAACAATTAAATAAAAAGAACTGGATTGAAACATTTCACTGGCTTTCCAATGAAGATTGCAAGGCCACAAATGCTGTAGTGTTATTTGGTAGGACATATTGTTTTCCCCTTATTGATAAATACATTAATACTAGGTTCAGGGTCAATGAGTTGCTAAACTTCACAGAAAATTATTCAGAAATCATTACTGTAATATCCTGCTAATTTATCCCACGAAGTACAGAATAATCTGATGACAATAAGCAATAGATCTCTTTTTTAGTGTTTATATACTATATATTTAATCACAATAAACAGGCTTACCCTGTAACAGAGCTTCAGAATAGCATCCTGAATAAATTTCCCAGGTTGTTCACCTGAAGCATAGCCACCTTAAAAATATTCAGAGAAGCTTATACGAGTTAAGATTACACTGATAAAAACTTTTTTCCAAGTTCATGAGTTCAGTAGTCAAGACTAAGTAGCTGCACGTGTGTAATTGAATTGACAGTTTTTCATTAATGAGCTAACTGCAAAACTCTTGATCTAAGATATGTAGAGCCTTTTGCAGTGATGAGCAACACTACAGTGTCTTGTCTATCCCTCATCCTCTCACACAAGCACTGGATCACAGCAAAGCCTGTGATCTCTCCATCATCTCTGAGGTAAGAGAGAGACTTTTGGGTTAATTTTTTACTGCAGATTCCTGCTCCTGAAAATCTGGTCCAGAATGATTGTTTTGTATTAAACAAGCAGTAAGAAAATGCTGTAACAGAAATCATCACCAGGATTCCCTGCCCCATCCAGGGAATACTTCTTGTACTTTTCATAAAAGTGACACACACAGCACATTCAGGGAGCTGATCTCACCTTGGTAGAGCACAGCCAGGTGTTTACTCAAGGACCAGAGTCCATAGAGAGCACTGAGATCCCTAAGCACTGGCTGCAGAGCTGCTGGGACGCTGGGATCGTGAGTGTAGTCGTGGTAGCGCTGCAAGGCTGTCTGCTCAACGAAAGCAATAGCCAGAGACCGACAGTAGTACACCTGAGGAGACAGGGAAGAAGGACACTGAGTAACAAAACACAAAGAACCAGTCCTCAGCCTGCCCAGAATGGCACTGGTCTCGTGAAGTTAGTGGAGCTCTGCTGATTCAGGTGTGATGATCTAGTTTGAGAAATTCTAAAAGTAGGAAAAACCACTTTCCACAATGTCTATGCAAAGGTTAGTTATGGAATGTCTCGTGAAATGCCTATTAGAAGTAAGATTGAATGCCTATTCCCAGTGTAATTTGGCAATTGCACCCAGGCTTTATGGGATCAAGAAGCTACCTCAGAGAGAAGACAATTAGTTTTTAACAATTTTACGACTGTTAAGAAACCTACAAGAATCTAGAAGGAAAAAGGTAGGTTTATATTTATTTAATATGATCCAGAGTTTTATAAAGAGGATAAAAATCTTCCTATTGAAAAATTATTACAGTCCATTCAAATAATAAACAAAAATCTGATCATGTTAGTATGAGTGGATTCTGTTGTTGGATTGCAATAGATTTCAGTATGTTTTGAAGGAACTATTCAACTAGTCCTTGCCAGCTATCTGATGAGAAAGACAAGTCACCAGTTACTGTAAATGAAAAGTATATACCCTTAAGTGATTGTATGTACTAACATAGGAACATTTCTCTACATTTATATGCTTCAACTTTGCTATATGTGCTGCCATGGGATACACTGCTGACTGACAACATTCTAGCTGGTGAACAGCAGGGGAATATGATGCCATTGCTGTCCTGGCTGACTTGCTGCAATGATGTAACTCATGTTTGTTTTAAGTTCGTTTTGTTAAGGTTTGGGTGTTTAATTTTTTTCATGTAGAATTAGTGGATTAGTTTTAATTATTTTCTTTTAAATACTTGCAACATCCTTGCATTTAGATCCACTGCAGCCTGTAAAGAAGGCATATTCCAAATATCACTATCTCTCTCAACAGCAGCTGTCCCGTGGCACACTTATGTCCAAGCTCAGATACATATATGAACAGCAAAATACACATCCTCTGTTCTCTGCAGCATTACAGAGGACTGCCCCCTTACTAGATGTTTTTTTTGAGATATGCTAATTCCCTAGTCAGAATGAAATAAGTCTTAACATCACAAATGAAACATTAAGAATTATTTTCCTGTTGCTCTCCAATATAATTCTATTTTTCTCTTTCCCATTGCTTGCACTTCTGTATTGTTTTTATCAAGCTTCTCCCAAATCAAAGTAATGCAGGGATAGGCTAGAAATCTCTTTCAGATCCCCCACAGCATGAACAAATATTTTGTATTAGTCAACCACTGGGCTGACAGAAAAGTTTCTTCATGCCCAGAAAGTTTTAAATCAAATATGTACATGTCTTCAAAGCATAGCTTGTAAATAATTTTCAGATGTTTTTGAGGCATGACATTTAAAATAAAAAGTCCTGCTGTCCTGAGGATGAATTGTAGGGAGAAAAGAAAAACTAATGACCTAAAATATATCAATACATATCTCAGAAGCAGCTGTGTGCCTGAACCACTCTGTATTTTAAATATAATAGATAAGACAATCTTCGTACTTCTGAGCTCACCATTCTAATGCATTGGCCCAAACACCAGCTTCACCAAAACCTGGCTAACTGAGAGGCAATCAGCCTGGAGTTTCTGGAAATTCCCATTGATTTGACTCTGAAGAATTTCTCTAATAAGCTGCTTCTAGGGTAAAAGCAGGAAAGATTTTCTCCCCTCTACCAGTGGTTTCACACATATCATCCATCCCCTGTTGAAGCCAGGCTGGCCCTAAATGCAGAGCTGAATGTTGACTATTCCTTCCTGCTGTTTCTTAGCTTTGCAGATAAAGTAAATGACACTGACCATCTTCAGGGAACTGACCTTTCTCAGTGACAAATGACAAGTGCTCATTTCTTGGATGTGAGCCAATTTTTCTCATGGAGGTAGTACAGGAATCTGGTGACCTTGGAGATAAATACTGAAATTTGGAGTTAAGCCATTGCTAGCTGTTAAAACTCTCTAGTGAGAGAGTGGATCTGCTATATGTAAATAGTCAATGTTTCCTTTTCAGGTTCCAGTGCTGTCAGTCTGGTATCTTTCATGAGTACTTTGCACTACAGGAATTAGAGATGAAAAAGACCTATTAGGTCATCTAGTTTACCTACCTGCCAGAGCAAGATTCTTTCCTACACTATGTATTTGGCCACAAGTGCAGATGGAGAAGTAATAATCAGATGCTGCAGTGCATTTAATACTAACAGTTTTAGTCTTCAGAAGTTGTGCTATCAAAATTGCAGACATCACACAGCACATGCCTGAAACTTTTCTGAAGGGAAATATATCCTGAATATATCCTGGAAGGCTTCTGCTGATGTTAACTGTCCTCATGCTATCATGTTCTATGAAATGCACATGGTCAGGTATTAAGTTTTATTAGCTATTTGACTTGCTGCTTTATGGTTCAGGAAATTGTAGTTTATGACAAAAGAAGATAAAACTAATAGAAACTGAAAGACTTCGATGAAAAGAAATAAATACAATAAGAAAGATTATTAAGTATTACCTGACAGTTGTTTTTTGCCTCAAAATCACTTTGTCCGGCCTGCTTCTCCTTATTCATTTTTAGGTCACTTTCTCGGAGCAGGTAGCAAACCAGCCATTTATAAGCTGCTAAAGGAACTATGGAAAAGAAAAAAGCAAAATTTTTAACATTCACAGTTATAATGCATGAAGTCACATGAAAATTCTGCTGCAGTCCCAGATTTTGTTACTTGAGATGAAAAGTGAAAGCATTAATTAATCAATCCATTGACATGCCACTTTTTCCATTAATGTAGATACAATAAAAATCTGGGGATAACAGTCAGATTGTGAGGGTACAGTGAAGACTTAATCATGTCTGGCCATACTTCAAACTGACCCCAAGCTAGAAGACAAGGTGTATCCACAGCTCAGTTTAGACTTCTTACTTGAATAAATTATTTAGGGGTTGTTTTTTTTTTTTTTTTTTTTTCTTATGAAGACTCAGGCCTGCAAGGTACAAAGTCTCTTTTGAGAATACAAGAACAGAAGACAGTCCACAATTACAGGAAGCATGTGACTAGCAACATTGTTTTCACTGGTAGCTGAATGTAATCACATTTAAATTACCAGCTTTGTACATAATTGTGTCATATTTCTAAGAGCAGCCTAGAACTATTAAGGTAAAAAGTTATTCAGCATGAAATCCTTGCAAGAATCCAGTTTGCTTGTTTCTTAGCTGAAGATTTAATGTAGAGCATACCTTAGGGTAGAGGGAGTGTTTACATAATACCTAAATTAAGGCATCTAGATTAACAGTCCTGTTTCTAACAGAATGGATCAAGAAAGAGATCCAGATTTTTTTTTAAACTATGGTCTGGTTCAGTAGGTATTACATGAGAGGAGAGAACATGTGTTGTTGCTCTCTCATTAGGTGTTGGCATTCTTTTTAACTTTTGTGTCCAAGGGCTAATCTGGGCTCAGTGATACACAAATGGGAACAGCATCTCATGTCATACTTGACTTGATTAGAGCAGAGTAAAGCAGGAAAACTACAATGAACTCTTTTTCCATTATTACTTACTTTTCTCTGTATAACAAAAAGCATCTGTCAAATGCAGAAGAACTTCATGCCTTTTCGACATAATTGTAAATACCTGTATGGTTTACTAAAAGAAGCTATTTTAGTGATAGAAGGTAGTGGCAATCAATCCTCTTAGAACTGGAAAACATCAATACAGTGGTGAAAAACCCTAACTCAGAGGTGCTATTTTAAGGCAACAAAAGAGAAAAAATAGTATCTAGGATGCTAGCCTCCATTCCAGAAATGAATTTGGGAAAATAGAATGTATTTTGAAATGCAGACTATGTTCTTAGTAAATAAAAATGTATGCAATAAAAAAAAGTCAAATATGACAAATATCTAATAAGCAGCAGAGGCTGAATCTCAGATCTCTGGATCCTTTCCATTGGAAAGGAATTTAAAATTCTAGAATCAGTTTAATAACAGCAGAAGCCTACCTGAGGAGTCCATGCAATCTTCCACACTAATGGCTGTGAATTTCCAGCCAAGAATATGATGGTAGTCTTGCAAAAAGTTTATTGTTCCCAAAGGGGATTCAAAAGGAGCTTTATCTGAAATACCAGAGAAAATAAAAATGATTTATGAGAAAAGAAATCAGACTTTTTGGAACTAAAAGCCTATTACAAAGCCATGCATACACTTGACAGGCCAGATGAAATTAGACCATAATACTTATTTTATTATGGCCTGGTCCAGCCAAAAGAGGACTGGTAGACAAGTGTGGAAAAACTTGACATCATGGCCTATAATTATTCCCCATAAGATTCAACTCCAACTGCTGAGTTTTAAAGCTCTGTAAGACGCTAGTGAAACTCACTGCTGGAAAACTGAAACAAAATCTAGAGAACTACAAGATGTGGTGATGGATATTGCTACCAAGTCAGGTGACATGAATTGTTCCAAGCACAATAAACAGACTTATGATGACTTTACCAATACAGAGTCACAGAACCATAGAATGGTTTGGGCTAGAAGGGACCTTCAATGTCATCTTGTTCTAACCCTCCCATCCTGGACAAGGACACCTTCCACTAGACCAGGTTGCTCCAAGCCCTGGCCTTGAACAGTTCCAGGGATGGGGCATCCACAACTTCTCTAGCCAGCCTGTGCCAGTGTCTCAGCACCCTTGCAGAGAAGAATTTCTTCCTAACATCTAATCTAAATCGCTCATCTTTTAGTTTAAAACCACTCCCCTTTGGCTCATGATTATCTGCCCATGTAAAAAGCAGCTCTCCATCTTTTTTATAAGTACTGGAAGGCCACAATGAACCTTCTCTTCTCAAGGCTGAAGATACCCAACTCTCTCTGTGTCTTCACAGCAGAGGTGTTCCAGGTCTCTGAGCATCTTGCTGGCCTCCTCTGGATCCCCTCTAACAGGTCCCCATCTTTCTTTTGCTTAGGACCCCAGACCTGGATGCAGTGCTGAGGAATTCATTTGAACTAAACTGCACTTCTCAGGGAGTAAGATATGGCTCAACCTGATTAGGGATGGCAAAACATCTAGCTAGCTGCTGCAAGACAGGAGAAAGAATATTTCTTGCAGCAAACATTTCTGTATTTTGAATGTACCATATGATGGAGTCTGAAGCACGCTATTTATGCCCCACAAAATTATTAAATGACTGTCAATTGCTTTCAGTATGAAATTACCTCCTAATTCCATCAGCTACACACTGTTAGGTCCAGTAAGATTCCACAAGGAAAACATACCTTTTATGCAATTCATCCAGTTCAGTAAGTAGTTGCTGGTTTGCTGGAGCAGGACGTTGTTATCTCCCTCATATGTGCAGTTTGGATCATTGTCATTTCGGATTTCACCCAGACGATTCACTTAAGAAGAACAAGTGCATGGTTTAATATATTGCAACATATTAATAGAAGCTAAGAGAGATTAAATAATTATTCTGTGACAAAATGCTGTCTATTCCTGTATGTAAAACTACTGCTACAAACAGATGAGCTTGAAAATTCACTGATTACCTTGTACAGTAAAGATTTTAGAAAAGTGTGGCATTAAACTTACAAGAGAAATTTTCATCTATAGCATCTTTATATTTGAAAATGAGACTGAATTATTTGTACAGTCTTTCCAAAAGATGGTGCAGATCCTATACAGGTTTAGGGAGGTTTTTTATGACTTCAAGTATGAAATAAAATTTAAAAATATAGATATGAGGATATAATACTTTCTAAAGTATTGCTAAACACATTGCTAAAATTCAGAAATCATAGCACAACAGCAAAGAACACATCATTCTCTTTCTGGTCAGTGCATGCAGTGTCTGTAACTTACTGGCAAGGTAACCATGCCCTCCACAAGCTTCTCGGCACTCCTGGGCTGCCTGCTGAGCAGTCCAAGATGCCAGTGATTTGCTGGAAGCAGATAAAGCATGAATCTCACGTCCCAAATCAGCCTTTGTGAAAAACAAATGATAAATGAGGAATAACTTTTACAGAAATTAAGCTGGTGACCAGCTAAAGCCATGGATACATGTACTGCTTTATAACGAACAGTAACTGGCAATACAGACATAAAACTCTGAGATCTATGTAAATGCAAAGCATATTCTTTGGTGCCACAGAAAAATCCCGCCACAACTGAGGAACCTTCAGCACCAACTTTCCTATATGAGACAGCAATAATTTGTGTCAGGTAAGGGGCACATGAGTGCATCTTAGTTCAGCTGTTCCAGCAGGCACAGCATTGAGTGAGTTAATTCACCACCTGCCAAGCTTTCCCTCCCAAAAATGGAGAAGCAGGTGGCTGAGGGTGGCCTGTCCAGAAAAAGCTTCTATTCCCTCTGTGACATAAGCAGTATCTCTCTCCCCAAGCAGCAATAGCATAGTTATAATGTTTATTGCCTTACACAGTTCTCACTGATCTTTTAAGCATCAGTTCTGCAAAGAGGAGGAAAATTTTTATGTACACCCTCAGAGACTCCAGAGAATCACAGCAGCCTGCATTTACACAACTGTGTTGACCTTCCTCTGAAAATGCATTTGGAATTCTGGTTTCTGGAGATAGGGGCTTGATACAACCAAAGCTTATTTAAAAGCACCTCCCTGACTGTTGTTTAAGATCTCCTGTAGAACAAAAGGAATCCATAAGAATTACATTGTTAAAATTTTCAACAATGAGATTCTTTCCTATCATGACTTTTTCCTGATAGCCACTGTTTTCCCTAAGATTAGTGACTTCACTGCAGACCTCCAGAGATGAAGTATCAGGTAAAACTTGCTATCAAACCTGAATCAAATAGATTCTTCTGTTTTGTACAAAGAGGAGAAATTAAAATACCCCACCATTAGTACAAATTATTTTGTAGCTTTACTTTAGCTGAAAAAAGCTTGAGGACTTGAGAAAGACCTGAGCAATACACAGCCAATATGCAGGCCTTAAAATTTTTATTACCAAAAAATTATAAAAATAAATAAAATTTATATGCTGTAAAAGCACAATACTGCAGTTAATTTGACAAGAATTAGTCCTTGCAGAGCGGATCATAGATGAAACTATTTCCTCTGTAAAGGGATGACTTCCAGTGGGCTGACTCTGGATGAAAAATTCAGTGCTAAGGCTCAGATGTCAACTTTATTCACTAAAAATATTTATTTTAATGCATGAATTTGAATTTCAAACTGAAGTCAAACTCAGTGAGTCTGTGCAGGAATTAAGATATTTTCAGAAAATCTTTGATATATGCTCCCTGTAGAATCATTTACAACAGTTATAAGCTGAATTTACACCACCATAATATATTTATGATACATTCTGCAAGAGAACCTAACCTACAATCCCACAGAAATCAATAAAATGTTAATCACACCATCAAAACTAATCTGAATGCTTTTCTAATGCAACTTTAATCAGTACTTTGAATGCCCCATATTTCTGAGACAGTGCTTTATCATTCTTGATCATAAGAGAGCATAAGACTTCTAAATTGGTCTTCCACGTAACAGTTAGCAGATTATTATAGTAAGAACTCAGTAAAGAGGAAATATATACATATCTCACCTGTCTCTGATTCCTTTGCTTTGTCAAAACACCTGCAAAATACTCTACAAAGTTCCCAAACAGGGACTTTGAGAAATAATCTAAGGCATATGCAGCAGCCAGATAAGGTAAAAGACGCCATTGCTGAAAAAAAAAGAAATTAAATTGATTTGATTACAAACTGATATATGTTTTTAATAGTTATTATATTGAACCAACTCGTTAATTTTTACTGTGTTCAAAATGGAAAACTACTTAATGGAGAACAACAGCCACCTATAATGTATTTTAAGTACATTTAATTATGTTATAGGTAATTATTCTCTTTATATAAGTTATGGTTATATTGTTTTAGTTCTCACATTTCATGAATTTGTGATAAGCATTCTGTTAAACCACGAAACAAGTTCACTGAAGCTTTGGGGACCAAAGACACATTTTTACCATGTGTTTATAAAATGTCTGGCATGCCAGGGTCAGTCATGATGCTTAAGTTTCCTCAGTATAAACATACAGGGGTTGTAACCATTGGGGCTCATGAAGGAAAAGAAAAACTGCTTGAAAGTCTTTGTGGTAAAGGAAGAAGGGAATGAGAGTTTCAGCAAGCAGAACCCACAGAACAAGTCAAAAAACCAGATCCTGGCTTATTCAGAAATGGTGGAAGGAAGGCACCTTCCACCAGTTTGTAGAAACTCAAGAAATCTTTCAACATTGCAAGGTAAGTGTCAACCTGGAAAAAGACCCCCACACTGCAAGGACCAACTGGGCAGGCTTGTTTTCAGCACTTCTTATATAATAACCTCTGTCATTCAGCAGATCTGAGTTTTCCCCTTTTCCCAGTTATTCTACATACAGTTTTTCTGTTTTTTTCAGAGCAAAAATGTTTCTTGTTGGCATTAACTGCAGGTAAACCTTGGCTATAATCCTCTTAAATCACTATTAGCTTGAGAGTTTTCCACAGCGAATGTCATTGAGTTCTATACTTTTAAAGCATACAGGCTACAAATGAGAAACTTAGCATAACAACAAAAGAAGCACTCATATTTTGAGACAAATGCTACTTTCTACATCTGCAGTACTTTTCCATGTGCACGTAACACAGTCTTTCTCTTACAAGGTTACTATTTTAGAAGACAAATGTTTCTAGCTACTTCAGAGAAACATGAATTTTTTTGGTTTTGCTCTTCCAAGAACTTGTTCTAAAAGCCTGGTCATGCCAGGAGAAGGTTTTGAATTGGAATGAACCCCCACAGCTGTACCAGAATGATACTTCTGGTGATACAGACTTCAATTTCACTAACTTCAGAGTCCCTACTGTGATCTGCAGTAGCTCTGAATGTGAGTTTGGTTATATAGAAGTCTGTAGATTGAATTCCAAAGTATTTACCTGTGTTTGGTATTCAAGGACAGGTATTTCTTCATCCTCAGCTGGTCCAAACTGACAGCGAGCTGCTGAGAAGCGAATGGCTATTGCCAAGGCAAGCTTTAAGTTGGTTGTGGAAAGTCCTGTGATTATAATTCTGCCACTGGACAAGGACCCCAGAGCTGCACTGAAACGTTCTTTAACCTCCTGAAAGAATAGAAGGCACAGAATGAATGCTGAGGCTAACACTTCATTTTATCCCCACAAAGATGTGACTGGGTAGCATGATCAGAAGCAATTTTTTCAATTTTGTCTCTTGACTCATTCAGATGAGGCATTCAGGTGAGAGCAAGAATAGTCTTGCCTGAGCACAGACATACTCTAAACTCTTTGGGATCAGTGGGGTCATGCAAAAACCACGAAGTTCAGTACAGTCAGCAAGGTGAGTTGAGACACCTCTGAAATGCAATTAAAAAAACCAACATTCATACTTCATGAGAAATTGCCAACAGCCTGCTTAAGTTCAGGTATCCAGTACTTCCTGGCATAAGAGGTCCATTGCTCTGTCAGCCTACTTACACCTCTCTATATTTAATGATACAAGACCTTGTTTCATACCTTGATAGAACTTGAGTACTTCCCCTCAGCTGTGACATCTCCAGCTATATTCAAGATGTTTTCTTTTGGTATCCTGACATTGTGGAACATGGCAAATCTGTTTAAACAAATACACAAACAGTGTAAAATCTGAGTCTCCGTAGACTGAGGTGTTTCTATTACAGAAAAATGGTGACAAGAAAGAAGGGATTGCAAAATTATCTCAGGCATGTCAGTGAACTGAAAACAGAAACCATCAGGCCAGGTAGGCAATTTTAGGGAAGTATGCCTGGGACAACAAAGACTTTCAGATTCAGAGCAGTACAATAAATTCAAGAAGAGAAATTATTTGTTATAACTCTTCTGATTTTTTTTTAAAGATTATGTTTACAAAACCAAAAAAACCCACTTCATTGACTCTAGGAGACCATTTTAGCATCTGTGTAAGGAAAGAAGTAAAAAAGAATGGAAGGATGAGCAATGTATTCTGGTTGAGGGAAGAGACAAAGTCACTTATTGGAGACCTTGTACACAGGCAGTTTCTGTTTGACAGGTACTTTCACTGACACCTCAGAAAGCAGAACTGAACTCTCAGGCTGCATTAGGTTGCTCAGGTTGGTATCAGCAGACAAAAAGTGTGGGAAGATGAACAACTATCTTCTGCCACCTAGAACAGGACTGGGCCATTCTCATTCCAAATAATTCCCTGCCTCAAACAATTCCGCAGAACTGTATTCTCAACTGAGGTACTGTTTAGTCCAGTCTGGAGACTGCTTTGGAATAGAGACACTATATATTTTTATACGTCTAAAATATGAGTGAGGATCACTCATTCTACTCCAATACAAATAAGGACATAGCTGAAGTAGTGCCCTGAGAAGGAAATTAAGAGAAGATTTTCCTTTGTTTAAACTCAAATTAGGAATTCTATTCCCTGAAATGTGACATCTTAGAAAAGGAAGATCAGGATAACCCTTTCTAAACTGCAGCACTCCAGCAGCAATAAAGAGGGACATTTTTAAGACAGGGAGAATGTCCTGAGTATTCATATCCTTCAGGAAGAAAGTGTTTGAATTGTTTCACCCAAACGGGCAACACAATTTGGCACAATAGCAGCAGTATCAACCCCACTCATGAATGTCTCACTATCTAATAGCACTTGAAAAGCTGTATTTGTAATCAAAGAAAATTCCTTTTTCCTGCCAATACAGGCTGATCTATTTAATATGGCTCACGAGAGCCAGGTCTTTCACATTAATAAATTACATAAGGGCTGCATTGCTGCATGTGATTTTAAATTATGAGTTGTTTCCAAGGAAACATATCTGAATACTGAATTTATTCAGCCTTAGAGATACACAGTATTTTCAGACTTAGACACAGAGAAAGGCGTGCTATCCTAACCAAGAACCAGCTGCCTCAACAACTCTAGTAAGTGCTTTGTTAAATGACAATTTCAGTGAGACTACATTATTTTGTAATAGAAGCAAATTCAGATTTTCCAAAAATCTGATTTCCATCTACGTTAGTATTTTTTTCATATCACTGAAAATAAAAAAAAACCCCCTTTTTTCTAGAAAGATCTTTTGGCTAAATTCACATTCTCTGCTCCCTATATCCCAAATAGAATCACAACTAAAACTGTACAACAACAGATATTTTTAAGCAATAGCATGCACCTTAGAAAGAACTTGACCTTTTAAATTATTATTACTTATTACTTTAATTACAGAAGTGTGTGTGTGTGGCAAGGTTTACGTTTCTAGTTTACACTCTTTTTTCACAGTTGCTGTCCATCCATAGAATTCCAAGAAGGTGCTTCCTCCTAGGACCTTACAATGCAAGCATAAGGCAGGAAGGTACAAATATGTTCAAACAGTGAAGCAGACACTAATTACTGAAGAGAAGGATGCCTGACAGTCACAGCACACCAGCAGCTCATCAATGTCATTTTTTACAAGCCATTAGAGCAAATGAGAATTTAAAGAAAAAAATCAGAGTAATGAAAGTAAGGGAGCTCCATGGAAGTTTATAAGGATCCCTCCCAAGTAGGAAGGGATGCATGGAAGGAAGCAATGAAATGTTATCTTAAAAAGCTATTGAATGGGTGATAAAAACTGGAATTATAAACCAGACTAAAGGAAAAGCTGACCTAACAGAGAGATGATACAATCTTTGGTGCACATATTAGGACCACATTTCAAAGGGCTCCAGTTCTCAGGCTTTCTCTCTGCAAATACATATCTGGAACATGCTTAGCCTTGTATGTGATGAATGGTAAGATTTCATGGCAGCATTCATAGAGGCATGAGGCTGGAAAACACCTCCAATACCAGAGTCCAACCATTACCCAAGCAGCACCATGTTCACCACTAAACTACCAAGTATGACATCCACACATCTAAACTCTTCCAGGGATGATGATTCCACTCCTTTTCCCTGGGCAGCCTGTCTCAATGTCTTAACACTCTTTTAGTGAAGAAATTTTCCCCAGTATCTAACCTTGGCTGGTGCAACCTGAGGACACTTCCTTTTGTTCTGTCATTTGTTACCTGGGAGATAACAACAATGAATCAAATAGCAAATTATCCTCTTATGTGTTGTGCTTTACACTGCAGTGGTTGGTTCAATTCACTGAGCTAAGTTGTGCAGTTGTAGAAATTTTTTTATGTTGACCTGTGCTTGAGACTCAAGTGTTCATAAAAAGCAAACTGAAAGCTACTACTTTATAAATCTCTATACCAATTGCCTACTTTCAGGAATTCCAAGTCTACTCATAATGAACATGTGACAGATGTATGCTGAACAAAACAGCTCCCAAAATGACCAAAACAATTTTACCCACTTTCACTTGCTGTAATACAATCCCAAACCATTAAATCTAACGGAAGTCTTCAGTTGGAAAAAGTGAAAAACCTTCAAGAAAGTTTTATTATAATCTATCTGACACAAATATAAGGAAGCTAATTCTGTACCACATAAAAGAGGACCTAAAAATATTATGATTAAAAACAACAAGCACACCCTTCTTTAATAACTTCTTTCACAGCTAATGAACCAGGATAGTGAATTTCCTAACAGTATATGATAGTCTATTTTCTTAAAATCAAAATGAATTCAAGTAACAGGTTTTTAAATTTTAGATTTTTTCCCTTGCTATTATCCATCACAGATATATTACATAAAGATATGTGGATATGCATATCAGATGGCAAAGACTTTAAGAAGCAAAGCAGAGCAGCAGAACTAGCAATTAAAAATTCAACAGAAAATTTCCATGTGTAAAGGAATAAGATATTTTGCGTATAAGCACAAGTGTGAAAATAAAAGCAGAACCTCACAGGACTGGTGGGTTAAGTGACCTTGTGAGATTGCTGCCAACTGCTGTTATGCTCCTTCTCCAAGAACTTTGCTATTGGGAATTGTTAGACATACTGGCCAATTGGAACTTGATATTGGAACATATTAAAAATAAATAGTAAGATTTAATGAAGTCAATGATCACGTTTTTAATGGTTATTAGCCTAGAAAGCATGGACTTGGCTCACATCTGTCAACGCATTTAGGGGGAAAATCTCCTTAAAGAATTGAAGAAATATCTTACAATAATGGAACTGTATACACAGTCATGGGGATATCATGTACCAGCAAGTTTGGAAAATGGCTAAATTTCACACAGTGATGACAAGACCAGAGGTTTAAAAGCTGCCCTACTTAGGGCCTCTTCAGCACAGTAGATAGCGTGACTGAGATTAAAACATCTCAGTAAGACAGACAGACAGCTGTCACTTTAAATAGATATCACAGGCCTCTACAGCACTGTGCAATTTTGCATCATGTAGACACATTTTTTTACCACAGATTAAAAAAAAACTGTATCACACAGATTTCTACCAAGAGCAGCTGAGCAGAGTAAAGTGCCATTCCAATAGTAGCATTCTTGTTTGGGTTCTTTGGCCAGTAGTTTAGGGAACATTTCAAACTAAGTTAATCTCACTGACTTTAAATCACGCAATAGTAATTCATCTGGTGTGCAGTAATGCTGATAAAAGAGGAGCAGCTGGGAAAGCTACAAGCTCCTTTTGCCAGTACTAAAGTAATAAACTGTTACCTATAGTACAAATAGCTCAGACATGCTTTGGTGAACTTCAGACTCGCTAAAATGCCTTTTCTGCCAGCTTTTGTTACTGACTACATTAGAGATGGTGCAATCATCTCTAACGGCAGACTTCCAGCCAGAAACAGAAAACAGGTGAATGGTATTGGAAGGCTGAGAGTCAGGTGGTATCAGGGCTGTTTATGGGATACAGTAAACCTTGGGAAGAATAACATTTCAGAGGTTTGATGAAAAACTTGCAGAAGAAAACTGCCACATATGCTAGACTGATGCTCACAGAAATGTTAGAGCTGAAAAGACTAACAGTGAAACTGGGGAAAACTGCATGGTAGTATTTTAGTTTTATTTTCTACAATCAAGGCTCTAGTCTAAGAATGCAGCTCTTATACAGTAATGCTCAATAACAATGATAAAACAACACAGTTTGTAGGCCTCCTAATCCTAACCTAATGGACTTCACAGGCTCACAAAGACCCACTCACACTAAAGCTCTTACAGTCCAAGTGCCAGTGGTATGAGGAGCTCTGGATGTGCAGACTTCTGCAGCTCCTTCTGCTAAGGAACAAAAATGGCTGGTTGAAGTCCACTGCAGATGGGAGGCTGTATTTCTGTGCATCAAAAAACAAATGTGTGACCAGATTTAAATCCACCTTTTCCCATTTTCACCCACATCAAGTGCCTTTCAGTGTGAAGTAGCTATGGCTGTAGAATTTTGAGGCACATGAGCATGACAAAAATGAGGGGATAAGGCAGCACTCTGCAGTAATGTGGCCACAGCCTAGGAACACGTGCAGCACTGTAGGTACCCACATAGTGTCCAACCCTGACTGCAGAAACCACACGAGTGGGGCAAAGCAGGCAAATGTCAATGATTCTGCTACAAAAAGCACAGCTTTAACTTAAACTGTAAACATGCAAGATTTGTTTGCAAAACACCTAGCTCTAACTGTGGTAGAGGCACTTTTCTCAAAGACTGAAGTGTTCATGGTGTATTCAGATAACATAAACACAGGCACAAGCATTTTAACATTCTTTTTTCATCTATAGCAACTTCATTGCTATTGACATTACAATTGTTTGAATCTTACATCAGAGGCTGTAAGTCAATAAAAAATATTAAACAAGCCCAAGCTTGTTTATTTGGGAAGCAGGACTGATTTTTAGATTTGATTTCATATATCTCTGTTCTTTTTTCTTTAGCCACTCCTAAGGCTGTCAGTGAACCACACCTGACAAATTATCTGACTTAAACCTACAAAAATTGGTAGGGTTTTTTCATTAGTTTTCAGGCAGTTCCAGTTCCCCTACAGCTACATAAATGTTCATTAGAGCAGAAAGAAAAAGGCAGTGCGGGAGTAGAAGCAAATAACCAAAGAAGCTGATTATGGATATTATCTTCATGGAACTACTGCTTCAGATTGAAAAATGAAGTTCCAAAGACTATTTAGGCTTCAACTATGTATTAGAGCTCCTATCTTCCTGGTGAAATAACTGCAACAGTTGCAAAATCTAAATGCCACTTGTAAAGGCTTAGAAGTCATATGATATATCCCATCTTTGTCAACATACAAGGGATTATAGTGAGGGCTTTCTGAGCCATCTCTTTCCAGAAGAGATCCTTTTAAACAATTTATTGCTTTTTTGTCAAATAAATGCCCTTTACCCATTTCTTCTTGGGCATTCTGTTTTGTTTTTGGTATCCAGAAACTGAATCTGGCTTCACTGATTGCTAGAGAACATGCTGAACATCTTAGTGTGTTCTATGTGTGCAAAGATTGATCACATTTTAATTGTAAATGAAAAGCTGTTAAACAGTTCATAAACCCCATCAGTTTTCCCAAGCCCACAATTATCATTAGATCCAGTGAACAATTCTTCCTCCAGAAAGACCCTTTTCTTCCCTACACAGGCTTAAGGTAAAATGAGTTTAGTTTCTCTGGTTCTTCCCTTACAAAGGGTTTTATCTGCTCAACAAACTGTATACATGTTATCAGTGGGACACAGCCAAACTCAGAACATGTTTTACAAAGACAGGCATACTAAGCACTATTTCAGAAATACAATTATAGCTGATTTTCACTCTTCCCCATGCAGATTCAGTTGGGCATCATTTCCATCTCTGGAGAGGGGAAAGCAGAAATTTGCTGCTAGTTAAAACTGGACATTAAACTGGTTCACCACCAATTCAGTGTCCATCATTTACTGATGTGCACTGAAGTAATGGGTAATCTGGGCAATGTTCCAGTAGCTAAGGTACATTCTTCCCCACCTCCCCCCACAAAATAAACCCATCAAAAAAAGCCCCACACCAAAGGAAGGAAACAGAAATGCACATCAACACATAGCCCAGCTCTTCATTTTTATGTGTGTCACACCCCTACTCCTTATGCCTACCACGCATTTTACGGAAAAGCCCCTGAAATCCCAAATACTCAGGGATCTTTTCAGTAGGTTTTTTTTCCCTCAACTACTACCATTTCGGGTCCTCAGTGAGCAGCATATTTCAAAGCCTGCCAGAGCACCAGCAACAGGTGGACATTTTAATATTATAAAATAAATACTGAAGCATTTGCATCCCCTGGTGGCAGTCTGATGTAACTTTGGTAAGAAAACACAAACCCAGTCTAAACTCTCCATAAGAAATGGTTCTATTTTTACTCCTTTATGCATTGATTACACAAATTATTGTAAATTTCCTAGAGAAATAAAAATATTTTTAAATATATTGTAGTGATTTTGTCTTTTTTTTTTTTTTGTCAGGGCAGCTAAAGTTACAAAGACCTGCAAACACCATATGATTTTTGGACATTCAAATTATGAAACTATGAGAATTACTTGGAAAGTTGATTCCAGAAATGGATTTACACTGCAAAAATTCCCACATTAGTTCTGATATTCCTTCTCTTACTAAAAAAATTATACTCTGCATCAGCAGGAAACCAGCTTTCAGCCAAAAAACCCAAGAGATTGTTTTTCAAAGCCAGAATGCACAGCTACAATCAACTACTCTGTTTTCCTACATAGCATAAATCAATAGCATTTTCTAAGGAGGCTCTGGAATTTTTTTCCCATGACCCTCATTAGTGCTCAGGAACATAACTCTCTGTATCCATACTGAAAATTATTAGCATAAATTTCTTGAAGCACAGGACAAAATCAAACATCTCTGTCAGACATGTCAGACTCTGATCCCCACTGTGACCACATATCCTGAGTGTAACTACATGGAAACAGACCTGATTTACTAAGTGTTCATGGTAGCTGAACCAGACTTCACACACACATTCAAAAACACCTGGCAGTGCATGTCGTGGAGACTAACAGCAGTCCATGCTTTCTCTGGGACAAACGAGGATGTGAGATTGCTAAATGGCCAAGGAGAACACCTTGACAAGGCTGTATCTGGTGAAGTACCTCCCTGTGGCTCCTGGCATTTTGCAGATCATGCAACCAACAGTGCATTTTCTAGGGTGGCATGGCTTGTTGTCTCTGCAAACAAATGCAGAAGTCCCTCTCCAGTCCCCATCCAGACCTTCATATACCTCTGAGAGCTGACATCTCCAGCCCTGATGCTTCTGACATCTCCGTGTGAGCAGGAAGGTTGCAGAACAAAACTTGGCTCCCTGGTTCTTGAGAACAATGTTGGCCTGCCTCCAATCTTAGACCTCTCCAAAGAAAAAAGGAGCTAAAGTAGTTCAGGAACACAGGGCCCTGGAGCTTTTAGCTAAATAAGGGGTATCCATGGGTAACCTTGGGCTCCCCCATATTTCTTTCTTAATCGCAAGTGCTGCCCTAAGGTTTCTAATGCAGGGACTACCTTAATGCATATTTAAGAGATCTATATCCATGACTGGGGCTCTTTGGGAACTACTGTTTGAACACAATTTTTTTAAAACAACATGAACAAAGTAAAGAGGAATGCCCTATGACAGCTTTAAATTACATATGATGTCAGCTTAGATAAGGGACTTCATCTGACATTAAGATAAGAAGTCACTGGTATCTCACTTAAAGGGTATTTTATGGATCATAATTTCAAATTATTCAGTTATTACCTGTATTTTAATACATACTCTTACTTTTTCCTCAGTAGATAATGGAGAAATGGATTTAAAATTATGTACATTTTAAAGTCACATAACAAGCAAACTCTTCATTCTGGTCTTGCACATAAATCTATATTGCAATATAAGAATGAACAGCAGAATTTAAATACTTCTATAGAAATATGAAGTTGAGTAACATTTAGATTACTCAGGCCCATGATGCTGTGCCATCTGGTGGCTACTAGTCTGTAATGCAGAAGCAGGAAAAAATACCCACCTAACTTTAAACATCTCTCTTTTCCAAGTCTTTCTTAAGTTTTCCTCTGTAAATTAATTTTGGGTTCTTTAAGGTTTTTAAAATTTATTTATTCTGTGTCTTCAGGAAACAGATAATCAATGATAATGAGCTAAATAACCATAAAATTCCTACAACCTTCTGGAAAGACAGTCAAAGCCATAATATTTGAAGTCAGGATACTTTCAGATGCCTATACTGCATTTACTGCCATGGCCTGTTTTGAAGGACAATACATAAACCTGTAATGAACTGAATCAACAGAAAGAAGTAAATTTGAGGCATAAGGAAGTGAAACCCTTCTGTACCATTTAAAGTTTATGTCTTTATACAGACCTACGTAATTATTCCAAGGCTTTAAATAATTTTTACATAATGACTATTTTAAAGCAGAAATCTGCCTCAGATTCCTCACTGTATCTCCTCCCCATCAGACACCTTTGGTTATTAAAGCAGACACAGAAAGGCCCTTGGATCCATGACTAAGAAATGGAGCTCGGCACTTTTTTATTTCAACTGTACACACATAACACAGAAGAAAATAACTAGCCTTCTCTTTCTTGGCTGCAGTCTAGAAATCCCGTGGTTTAAACAAGATACATACTTTCTCTCTTTGGTCTCATTTATCCTAATCTTTACTGGAAATAAACCTTGTCTGGGGACCACCCCCAGCCTTCCTGTGGGCTGGAAATCAACAGAGAAAATAATTAAAGTCTTACATGCGGATCTGTGCAGAGGCTGATAAAGTTCTTTACTCAGAACTTACTCGATATTTTTTACCATTATTATTGTTGAAGAGTCTATAACTGCAAGACTGCCTGGGGATATTCACAGAATACCAGGAGCACTTCACATTTTAAAGAGTGAGAAAGGCTGAAAGGCTGTTTATTCAGACAGAAAATACTGAAAATCAAGATCTTTCAATCTGGGTTTTTTTTCAAAATATCAATAATTTTAAACCACTAGTGAACACTTCAGGAGAAAGGACAGAACAGATACAGGAGAATCTTCACAGCACTACATTGTGATATAACCTAGAATGTTTTCTCTTTCAAATGTATTGACTTACCCATTATCCAACCCATTCAGCCCAAGTTTCTTTCCTATGTCTCCTACCATCACACCTGGCATTGGTAGGAGAGTTTTTGTATCTCGAATCTGTGCAGAAGTGAAAAAAAACATTTCAGTAACAGAGCAATGAAAGTTATTGGCTGAATTTTTCAAAGGTTGAAAATATTCCCAACTTGTACCCTGTTATTAATGATAAAGAGATCTCTATGTTTTTCTCAAGCACATAATCCTGCACAGAACTTGTACTCATGCAACCTCTCATTCAGAACATAGATACTTTAATGAAAATTACTTTGGAAGATGACACTAATTACATCACTGTTTTAAATATCACTTAACACTGATGACTCTCTCATCAGATTAGCACTGAAATCTCCTTCAGGTGTACACAGATGAAGCAGAAACCATTGGAATTTTTATGTAACAATCAGCTTTGAAATATTACAGTTCTGTAATAAATTTTGCTCAGTCTGCAACTAGTCTAGTACATTTTACTATGTACGAGTTTTGTACTGCACTGACATATTTTGTAATGCCTTTAATTTTATAAAATGATTTCGGTGGTCTTGCAGATTCATGCAGATCAGCCTGAAGCATTGGCAGACATAAATCATCTTAAGTCCCGTGCAAGATTTTCAGCAATTCATATGAAACAGATGAGTTCTATCTATATAAGTACCATGATTGTCTGGAGACTTTTCAGCTCTTTTGTATTTTCTGAAGTTTTTGCAGAAAACTGAGAGTATAAAACCAGCTCTATAACCTTCATTAAATCAGTGAACATTTAAAAAAATATCCTGGTTACAATTCCAATAAAACATGAAGGTATTAAATAAAGAATCTGGTCAGGTATAAATAACAGTCTTTAATTTGAACGCACTCTTCCCCAAAATAATAAAACGATTGAAAACGTTTCTACCCTACCTGTACAATAAAGGGATGTAATCCTTGGCACTGTCCATCAGGAGTATAGAGCTGGGCATACAAAACTGCATGAGTGGCATGTTTCCCCATGTTACCAACCCAGAACTTTGCAGCTTCAAAGTCAGGTGTATTGATGACAAATTCCTGTAAACAGGAAATAAAAAGAATATTACAGAAATTAAAAAAAAAAAAAAATCACGCCACAGATTTTTTTTTTTTTTTCACCACCTGGCAATGTTCTGAAAACAACTGCCAGGATTTATTCCATATTGCATTCCAGCACCTGAAATCGCTCTTATTGTGTTCAATTATAGAGGGAACACATGTAGTAAGGAAAAAAAATTAGAGCTTAAAAAGCTCATTATCTCATTGTAAAGACTCAAACTCAGCTTTTTAAGTTGCTCATTTAAGCAGTTTAAAATGCAGATTAATGGACTAGGAAGCATTTCCTAGATCTTAAGTTAAACTGAGCTGTGAGTTCAAGTAAAGAACTGAGAGAGTTGTTTCAGCTGTGAGAGCTGAAGCCTATGCAGGGACCAACTCCTTCTTACACAGTTTAGTATGGAAAGGCTGACAGTGTGCATCAAGGACTAACCTGAGTGCTGGGATCAAATGTGGCCGTAGTCCGTAAGCCTTTGGTGTTACTTCCATGGCTGAGTTCAGTCAGAGCAAAACATCCAAAAATCTAAATAAGGAGATACAGGGCACAGTTCAAGACCACTTTATTACATCAATTGAAACTGCAAGACTTTCAAATGATTTCAAATTCAGCTGCTGGAGAGTAACTTGGCAAAAAACCAAACCAAACCAGGAAGTGATAAAGAGCAACAAAAGAAGCACAAGGCTCAGTTAAAGCACAATCAAAATATTTATCTTGCAAAATCAGAGGGTCCAGCCAGATAGTGAATGCTGCTCACATGGCCTAGACTGCAGAAAATGTTTAGGATTGGCACTTTCTGTATCAGACAGGCTGCATTTATTCTGCAGAGTGCTTAGTCCCAAGTCCCCACTGCACTCCATGTGGTGTTTCTTTGGCATTAAGACATTATTATTTTCCATTTTATAGCATTATAATGGAATTTTTATGGCAACACATCAAGGTTAAGAGTACCCTAGCAAGATACTCTTAAATGACTCTGGACGGAGCCTGAACTGGTGTAATGTCATCTATACTGCCTTTAGGGAAAAGTTCCCAAATTTTGTCAGCATGTTAACTTGTACAGTCTAAAACATATCCAAGAAGTGGTTTATGAGCTAGTAGTGAGAACAGTCAGAGCTCAATGCTTGAATCTGCTCCATGGCCTTCTCTTTTGCTATTTAGAGGTACCTAGGTATGTAAAGATATCAGAAATAACACTAAAACTGCAAATAGTGCAAACACAGTTCTAATAGTGTCCATTTCCCAAAAATTATGAGAAAAAAAAATTACCTCCATGCTATAAGTTTGTTTCAAAATGTGTGCAAATCTCTTAGAAGCACTCATAATTGAACCTGCAAACGTCTGCAAAAACAGAATAAAGAATTAAATCAGTGCCCTGTGATGAAAAGCACAAATTGCACATGACTTTTAATAGTGATGTCCAGTAAAGAGACCAGGGAAAGTGGGCTGCACAGTAAACTATAATAAGACTATAACAGGGGGAGGTAAGTCAGGATTCAATCTTGTCAAGGTCCCTTTACAGATAACTGAACTTGTCCCAGCTCTAACCTGTTCAAGCCTTCATTGCAATTGGTTAGAAATACTTTCCACTTGTCTTTAGTGACATTCTTTTGAGCAAAGGAAACCTTAAATACTATTTTAGTTCATTTTACCGCAAACACATTGGGAACTGAAAGTAGCTGCTTCAGGATCAAACAAGAATGCAGATTTGAAAGCTACGTTCAGTTTTTCTACATGGATATTCACACAACAAAACTCTAATTTCTTGATGGTCCCCAGCTGTGTGAATAGGAATAATTAATTAATTTATTCAACTGCTAATATTTGACCAGCTATGTTGAGCATTCTTTGTGAGAGACCCATCTGGGAAACAACTGATTTACAGCATTCAGCCACTGATGCCAGTGAGAAATTTTAAACTGCTTTCCATTCCTTCTGGATTCTGCCCTCCATTAAGACTGAGGCTCAAGCAGATAAGTTTCTGATACTTGCAAATTTTTAGCAAACACACAGCTACCAACAACCAAGTTCTTTGGCTGCCCTAGAGAGGAAGCAGAGGAGTAAACAAAAGAAGGCATAAATTTTTTTTTTCTGTATTTCTGTCTGTACTGTTTCACCTTTACTTTCGAGGTGGGATTCCAGGGGAGACAGGGGTTTAACAACAAACATTACCCACAGCTCTCTGACTAAACAGTTAAAACTCAATACCATTCTTGAAAAGAAAGGACAAGGAAAATATGATTACCCACAGCTCTCTGACTGTTCTAAACAGTTAAAACTCAATACCATTCTTGAAAAGAAAGGACAAGGAAAATATCAAGTTTAAATAAAATAGGCATAAAGCAACAGAATTATGGTATTAGAAGTTACTTAAATTCAAACATAGATCACTACAGTCATTGAACTGTACTTACACCAGAATGTAAGAAAAACTTGAGACATAGAGACCAATCATACATTCCTACACAGAGCACCATATCAAAAAGCCTTAATGGGTTCTCCATCATCTCTTGCTGAGTGAGAAACTCATACTCAAAGAGCCTTTTGCAGCGCAGGAAGGTCAGCTCCTGGTATTTCTCACGGCACAAATCTTCTCCAGGATGATGTGCAAAGAGAGGATCATTTTCCAGAGCGGAGAAGATTCTGTTCTTGGAGGGGAAAAAACTGACATGAGAATATTGACTTAAAATCATTTAAAAAACCTGTTAACTTCCTTCCAGAATAACACTGGGTCTCAAACTACAATCATTTGCTGTAAGGTATTAACTTAAAAAGCAAAAAGTCCAGAGAATTTGAAATATATTTAAATTATCTGTCATATATACAGCTCATGCAGCTGAATTTTATGACATCTCCTTCACCATGAAGCAATTCACTCCGAATCTACAAGAACAGTATGGTAAAACTTAATTGCTTTGTGTAGCAGCTTTACTATCTCAATATATGAAGCTGCTGGCAAAACCTAAGGGGCTAAAGTCCCTCAGTCTGAGGATAAAGGTAAAACTCCAGGGTTACACTCAGAAATATGCCATGATGGTAAAACCATTAAGCTACCACAACTGCTCTGTTCCCAGATGAAAATTAAAAAAGGCTCCATTTAATGGAATCACCATATGCAGCCCTGCAATGTGGGATGTGCATCTTTTAATATTGTAATTTGGATCCTTTTTGTATTAGGTACTATATTATGGCATTTTTTTATCCCAGACCTGTATGTTCAGGATATCCACATCTTCTTGATTGTGTTTCACATAAGAAGGAAGAAACCCAGACTTCCTGTGCTTTCCTTTGAAAGGCAGTCATTCCCTTTCTCTGTGTAAACAACTCTACATGCCCACACAGCTTTGAAACTCCTTCAGACACAGAACACATGAGGTTTTTTCTCTGCTCTAACACACACCAGTCAGATGCAGAATAAGGCCTTCTTGATTTCTCTGATCTACCTGCTAGGATTTTGACAATTATGGTGAAGATTCAAGATTACTTAAATCTATGTAAATCTACACCACCTTCAGAAATGTAGTTCTTTCTCCTCCTTTATCTCCAAGTCATGCATTTCCACACCATCTCTTGTGCTGCAGTTAATCTCTTTTCTTGGTAGGGTTAGATTTCAGCAAGGTTCATATGCTAATCTCCAATTGCAATGCCACAGAAGCATTAATGCAAGCACAGAGCATTACAGGAAATTAGGTCAAAGTAAGACAGAAATAGTGTTTGACAGTGACTTAAACTTAGCTCTGTATAAGTGCCTTGCAAAACCATGTGGTCTATGATTTAATGCAAACAGTAAAGAAATATGGTAGAACATACCTATTTCTCAGTTTGAAATGAACACTCAAGTTCTGAAATGTAGCACCTGCTGGTCTCCCCTATACTGATGTTCAGTAATTAAATGAGTCTTATGACACAGCAGAGTGGATTGCTTAAAAATTCAATTGTCTTCTGAAAATTGGCTGTGCAAATCAAATTTCTTCATGCTCCATATTTACAGATCATTATTAACTATACTCCCTTTAAAAAACCATCCTTAGTTCTACTGATATCTCCACAATTACAACACGCTTACAGTTCTTGCAAAGTTTACCTTCAGCTGGATGGTATCTTCACCATCTGTGAACAGTGCCATCTCCTTCCAGTTGAAGGAAGCTTTCTTTCGATATCTGGAAAGCGGGCCTTTAGGGAAATCTGCTAGCAAATCATCCCGTGAATTTTGGCTGCCGTGAATTTCCTTCTGACTCATTGTTAGCTAAACTGCAGCAAACAAAAAAAGATAAAACACAAAATGAAGCACCACAGATGCCTGTTTTTTAATTACAAAAAGAAGTTAAAAGAGTTGTTTAATTTAATCCATGGACTAGTTTAAATGTATGAGTATAGCACTGCAGAGGCAACTAAAATCTTGCCCTTCCCTTTTTCTAATTCAACTGGCTTGATACAAAGAAAAAAATGCCTTTGATCCAATGTAAATGAATTACATCGTCTTTGCTATTAAAATATGAGCTAAATAGGAAACAGGGACACCACTGGTTATCACCTTATTGTGTGTTAAGAAAGTAGGTGATAAAAGACCCAGGTGAGAAAATACCACATCTTAAACAACAAATGGAGTAAGGCCCCACAAAGTCTGCCGGCAACTTTGTATGCATCTACGGGTCAGCTGAGAGCACTACAAAACTGCACAGACCTGCAGGGTTTCCCTGTCAGGAGGTACAACTGCACTGGTTCGGGAGAGAGAGAAGAATCTTGCCTTTCAATAGACCCTGGCCCGGAGAAATAGAGGGTGATCCTCTGCTGCTTGCAGAAGCTGGGGCTGGAGAGCCCTCTGCTGCTCAGGGCACACCCAGCGATCCCGGCCACCACACCGGGCAGAGATAGATCTCTGCTGCGCCTGGAGGGTACAAAACCCATGGGACAGGGCAGCAGCAGCTGGCCACCATTTAACGGGACTGGCTGAAAGAAGCAACTCAAAGGCATAGCTAGGACATCCTGGCCCAGGGCTCACTACAGATTTGAACATAATGAAGTACAGAAACTACTTCAGCAGTCTGCTTTTTCCACCCCTTTTTTCCCCGTCATCATCTTGATGTGTCTTCTTAATACCTCTCTTTTCTTTCAACCTTATCTTTTTATGGAGGTCATGCTCTAGTTCTGAACTGTACAAACACAGTAGAAGGGAACAACAGGATAGTATTTCTGCATGTGACTTTCAAATCAGTTCTAGGAAGATGCAGCTCCCATACTGAATAACAGATCTGGAAAGGGAGAATTTTTTATTTTTTTTTTTAAAAAGGACATTGAGAAGCTGTTTCAACTTCCAGCCAAATAAACAGATACTACACTTGTAATTGGAAAATAGGTAAATCAGGCAGCAGTTAGATAGGCAAATCAGGCAGCTTTTCACTCATAAAAGAGAAAAAATTACACTGTAATATTGCAGCTGTTGCATCTAACTTGATTTACATTGCAAATCAGTGATATTGCTCAAATGAGAAAACCTCATTAAAAACAAAGCGTTCTGTACTTAAAATAGAACACAAATTCTCTGACTTCACGCAATGTATTAATATAATTTGGCTCCAAGTCAACAGTTTCAAGACTAATTAAGAAATCAAAACAGGTGGTTGCAATAGGAAAGTAACAACGGGCTGTCCTAAAGAATAACTTCAGTGTTAATTTCAGCCTTCCTCTGAAATTGTGAAACGTGTGCGAAGGTGGAAGTAAAAACCACATTATTTTCAATTTGCAAAGAACTGCTGCAGTTTCACTGCGAAATGTTGAGTTGGAAACCTTTTTCCGTGCAAAGCGCTCCTGCCAGTAATTCAATTTCATAGCCGGGCACCAAAAACGGGTCAGAAATCACAAGGGCAAAGGACAGCTTGCAGGATACTATCCACAACTATCTCAGGTAATAATGACACAGCTCAGACACTTAGTTGTCAAGAATAATGATACTGTACCCTTATGGCTAAGACATGACATAACCAGTGTTTTATTTTATATTATATCCTATTTATACATTTTATGTCTATATATATTTTTAAAAATGTATGTATTTATTTAATTTTCTATCTATATCCTATATCCGAGCAATCTGCTGCTGGCAGTGGCCCAGAGCAGGACAACCACGGGCAGGGCAAGGGCAGGGCTCGAACCGCTTCTGTGCGGGTTCGCTTCCTTCTGCTCAGACATGACAAAACCAGACTACATAACGTACTGCAATTTGCTAAAACAGGTGTACCCTGATGGGCCGGGCTGACTGTCCTGTGTCAGTCAGCCGTCCCGGTCTGGAGTTTGCTCTCCGGAGGCGTTTTCACGCAGCTGTTCTGCGCCCGCTGTCACAGCCGCACAGACCTTCCCCAGACAGAGCAGCACCGTGACGACCCTCCAGCCGAACGCTTTACTAGGAGCTGGCGGCTCCCCGTCTTTTCAGCCCTAGGACGGCACCGCAGCAGCCTCTTTCGGCGCTTGGAGCCTCAGAGGCACAGGCGGGGGCGAGGGGACCCGGTACGTACCTGCGGCCGCCGCCGTCTCCGCCTCGGGAACTGACGGGAGCAGTCTGCGACGCGCTCCGCCTCCTGGCGCAGCGCGGCGGCAGCGGGCGGTGGATGGAGCCGGTGGGAACGGCGGCCGTGCGGGATCCCGGCGGCGCCGCGCTGCCCCGCGGCTTCTGGGCGGCCGTACGCGTGTGGCTGGAGAAGCCGCAGGTGGCCAACAGGAGACTGAGCGGCGCCGCGGTCCAGGCGGAGGGGACGGTGCCGCTCGGCGAGAGCGGGGATATACCGCCATCCTTCGCTACCGCGGGGGCAGGCGGGGGCGGCGGCGGGCAGGAGGGGCGAGCGGCGGGGGCCGCGGAGCTGGGCCGGCTCTGGAGGGAGGTGCGGGGCCAGCTGGCTCTGCCGCCGCCCCTCACGGCCTGGGGCGCGCCCGGCGAGCTCCGCGCCGTGCTGAGGACGCTGCTGCCCCGGGGCCGCCCCGCCGCGCCCCCCGCCCGGGAGCTGGTGGTGCAAGGTGAGCGGAGACGGCGCTGAGGGCGGCGGGAGGCCGGGCCCGGAGCGCGGCTGTGAGGGGCCAGGACTGTCGCGGACCTGTCCCCTCACAGATTGCCTCGCAGAGGAGAGAAATACCATTTTTTCCTCCCCTTTTTGTGGGAACGAGGATGGCTTTTTCTCCCTGTCGTGTGCTTAGGGTTTATTTTTACCTTTCGTTGTGCACCACGAAGCATTGAAATTTCAGCAGTTGAAATAGAAATTACAGAGCCAGGGCGCTGGGGCACTCAGGAGCTCCTGGCAGGAGCTGCCCACGCGGACCTGATGAGGGGCTGGCCGGGAGTGACTGTAGTGTTGGGAAATGCGGAATTACTGAAGAGAGCAGGCAGCTGTGGAGCCTGCCCGGCCAAGGAGAAGTGCTTGTTTTGGCTTTCTTAATGCTTAGCATTGCTTAAGAAAGAATCTCAACTTGTTTGGTTTTTTAAAATTGTTGTTATTGTGTGTGGGGGGGTTTGTTTTGTTTTTGTTTTGCTTTGTGGTGTTTTTTTACACTGTATGGTGGTTTTACGCTGCAATAAATCCTGCTAATATGAAGAAATTTACATAGGGTAGAACTTGACAAAGTTTTCAAGATAAATTTTGGGAAAATGTTGATATGGATTAAATTCTAGTAGTAATGTTTTGGAAAGAATCAGAATTCCAGAAACAGCTCGACTTACAATTCAGAAAGACTGATTGTCACTTATGGGGCACACTTGGGGTGTTCTTGAGGCCTTTGAGTCTTACCTGGTGCCTTCAAAAAACAAATTATATGTTGCAGTTTTATTTTTTCTTTTGATGCTAAGAGAAGATGCTCCTGAGCTGCGTCTATAGAGTGTATCTCTAAGAAAAAAGCTAGGAGATTTTTTTTAATTATTTTTTTTTACAATTAAAAATGTTAGAAGTGGAATTGCTGAGGATGGAACAAGATAGAAAGACTTAACATTTACTCTATTGCTAATTAATTCTTTCGTGTCTAACTCAGAAAATTTTGGAGTCTATTGAAAATTGATTATGTAGCCAGTGTCACATTTTTATTTGCAAGAACATTCGTTTTGATGGTAATTTAAAAAATATTTTCAAAACTGAGAACTTAATAGTAATCATAATAAGTTATTCTGAAGAAGTCACTCTGGATAAACAATAGCTGAAATGATTTTTTAATTTTTAGAGGAAGTAGTACTGCAAATACACCTACTTCCCAGGACTCTGGATTTGCTGTGGGATGTGGAAAAGCAGCAGTTTTATACTAGAAAAATCTTATTGTTTAGTTTTTACTTTACTAAAATAGTTAGGTGTGATGAAAATGAATACTTCTGGTCAGCCCTAGATAGTTTGGAAACATCATGCCATAGAATGCTAAATTTTGAAAATTCAAATCATCTGCTAGTTTCAGATGTCAGGAACACCAAGAAACAGATCCATTCCTGGCATTGTGGTCCTTTCTCTATTGTCTTAGCTCTTGCCTCACTGTTTTGCAGGCAGAAGTTCATGTTGGTATTAACCAGGGTTAGTTGCACTGTGAAATAATAAACTCTTATTTGCATGTCTTTTCAGATGTTTACAATGGAACTGTGACCTTTCTGCCTTTGGAGGAAAACAGTGAAGGAAAATACCTGGTTAAAAAGTGCAATATTTATCAAATTCAACTTAAACACGTAGAAGATGAGGAATGGTAAGTGTGGGAGTGAGGATGCAAGCAGTAAGTTATTGCAAAAGTCACACAATGGTTTAGTATTGGTATGTAGGCAGTTTAGATTTTATAATTTTCTGCTTGATTAGTAAATTACAGTAGTGGTGTGATATGAGTGCACAGTGTTCTCTAAAGAGAAACATATACAGTACCCAGAATAATGTAAAACAAATCTGTTTCACTTTTGAATGTAAAGATTGATTGTACCTTTGTGTGGTCTAGAAAAAATATGCCTCTTCTGATCACAAGGATGTAGCAGTGCCTGTGAGAAAGGGTCTGTGGATGTTAGCAAGGATGAGGGTCAAACCAGAGTTGCTGTGAATGACTGAGCTTTAGTCATTGAAATGTAGACCATTCAGTTTGGTCCTGAGCATCTGGGGGTGCTCTAATAAAATCTGAATAAAGTTAGAGATGATGAAATAACAAGTTGTGACAATAGATATATTTTTCTCTTAATTTTGTCTGCTATTTTTTTCAGAAATTTGAAAAGTTGACTTTCACTGTTTAGTGTTTGGCTGTCTTGTGAAACCAGGTTGCCCATCATCTGCGTGTCCTCATTTATTGTGTTAAATGCAGCATGGACTCTTATGTACTGTGTTTGAATTGAGAGATATTGAACTAACAAAATTCAAGGGAAACTGTTCCATTATTCAGTAATTTCACTGGTTTATTTTCCTATTGTTTCTCTCCATATTTACTTATTCTTCAGCCTAGTTTTATATCTCTGATCTGCTGATTTTCTCCAGTTCATCGTTGTTTTCTCTGTCCTTGACACAGCTGAAATGAAGAAATGCTGTATTTATACCAAGGCATTTGTTTGTTTGTTTTTAAGGTCTGTGTCTGTTGTAGCTCCATTTCCAGAAGATTGGTTTTCAGATGGAATTGTGTACCCCAAACTAGCATGGCTTGGAAATGAACTTTTGTCCAAACTGGCTAAATGGTCCGTGGAGCAAAAGCCCAGTGGATTTAAAAATACACTCTCACTCATTTCAGTAGCAAAATACAGCAAGGTTTATCAGGACCTCAAAGAAAAGTACAAAGAGATGGTAAAGGTAAGTTTAGCAGTAAATGCAGTAATCTTATCATTCCTTTTATTTTTTTTTTTTGTTTTGTGTAATGAAGCTACTTCTTTTAATAAATTCTTAAAAAGAGAAGCAACTGAATTATAATTTATAGTTGTTTTTTGGGGTTTTTTTGGGGTTTTTTTGGGGTTTTTTTTGTTATAATTCCTTTTATTTTTTTTGTTTTGTGTAATGAAGCTGCTTCTTTTAATAAATTCTTAAAAAAAAAGAAGCAAATGAATTATAATTTATAGTTGTTTTGTTTTTTGTTTTTTTGGGGGTTTTTTTGGTGTTTTTTTTGGCATATATATAGAGAATAAAACAGTTCAGTACTTGGAAGAAATTAGTTGGAAAAGCAGGATTTAGAGCCAAATTCACAAAAAATACTTGGAGGAATTGGGCATTTTCCAGGATGTATCACTTGTGATGAAGAGGAAGCAGTAGGTTAGTGGAAAGTCATCCATGTTTTAGAAGGCATAAATAAAACACCTCCTTCTCCAAAACCTTTGGATACTATCTTAAATATATTTGAGTTAGAGGAACATTGTTGTAATTTTTTTTCTTATCTTGGACATCCTGAAGAGCAACAGAGTGCCATATGAAGTAGTGTCACTATTCTTGTAAACTTAGCTCTAGCTGCAAACAGAAAAATTGGTAAATGCTTTTGTAAAACATACAGTGAAAATGCTGGAAGGTTTTACTGTTAATACTTCTATACTAGCAGGAAGAAACAAAGGAGAGGAGAATTAGAGTTTTGGGTAAGGCAACAATTCAGTCTGTAGTTCTGCAGTAGAATTGCTGGTGTTGACCATTTCAGTCTTTGTTTCAATTCTTCATTTACAAAGTAACACTAGGTAATAATACTTGCACTTTCTGTCTTCCTACTTCAGATTTTGATTCTTCATGTTCTGTTGTGCCAGGATAATTCTAGGTCTGTTCCCTTGCAAAAAGAAATTTACAAATGTTCATGTCCTCAGTGTTGCAGAGGTGTAGATAAGATTTTTTTTTTTTCTTGTGAGAAAGTTAAGCAAAAGATACATGGTCTGTTACAGAACAGATGCAGCTGTTTACTTGTGACCTGCACATGTAAAGCCAAAATATTCTTAGAAACTTTATTGTTTGGTTGAATCAAACAGTCTTTATGTTCTCTGGGTATATTTTAATGAGGTTAAAATGCAAAATCTGTGAAGTCCAGAAACCTACTGAAGTGAATAAGTACCAAATTGCTGTGTCTGAGCATTTTTGAGGTTATTTCAGATGATGCAGATAATAAATTTTTATCTATTTTTTCATTCTATTTTTTTTTTCTGAAGGTGTGGCCTGAAGTGACAGATCCTGAGAAATTTGTTTATGAAGATGTTGCCATTGCCACTTACTTGCTGGTAGGGAATTGTTTTACCTCATAATATGCTGTAAGGTTATATTTCTTAATAATAGAACCTCTCTAAAGAAGATCATTTTAGAGGTAAACAAAAAGTTCTTTATGAAGATATGATGAAGATTTGCAGTCTTCTCTCACAGGAAATTTATCATCTACATACACAAGATTTATTTATTTCTTAGTGAGAAAGCCAAAAGCACTGATGTCGAAGTGATAAGATGGATCAATTCGAGATTAGGATTGATTGTTTTATAAATTTTTCTATTACATGTTCATTTTATACTATGAACAAGTAAAA